TAAAAGTATTTTGGGCAGTCTGGTGATATTTGGATTTAGCCTCTATAAAACATCTAGAACTGTTTCACATGTGGATTGCTGTAGCAAAGTAATGTTTTGGACTCTGATGAGTTTTCTTGTTGCGAACTAACTGCTCAGAAATATCTTTCTAAAATCAGCGATCAGATTTGTAAACTAGACATTTTAAGTTTTTAAATTATGTATATTTTGTTATGACTGCTTTATGTTTAGACTATAATATAATAGTTTATAAATGAAGTGCCAAACGGTCCCGCAGGCTATAGGGTAACATTAAATATGTTCTGCCCTTCCTAAATAATAAATACAGCAGTAAAATGTGTATTCAGAAGTCTTAGACCTTTCCAACGATATATAGTCTGTCATGATTAGATCAGGAATTAATTGTAATATAGTGATATATGTAATATTGAGCACTGTTAAAGGGGTAAAAATGATCAAAATAGCTCAAATAAATACAAAAACTGAGAAAATCCCCTTTAAAGTTGTCTGGAAATCCATTATGAGCGCTTTACATCATTGATAAAGACAATGAATATTCACTCGAGTGTTGACCGTTTCCTTTTTAATTTTACTATAAACCCACTCACAGTTGTGTTCCAGTGTGTGCACGTGTGTGAAATCAAGATTATTATTCAAAGTCTCTGAGCCTCAGCTCCAACAGTAATAATCATAATCATGATCATCAAATGAACAGCTGGAGCCCTTGAGTTCCTCCGCAACACACGACACATTTGGCAAGAAAAACTCTGGAAAATCAGTCCCACACACACTTTCCCTTTAAATACAGTAAAGATCAAGAGTTCAAAAATATTGCCAGATTTTCCACACATTAAAAAACAGACAGACAGACAGAAGTACACAGCGCAAACCATAAAAACAGAGAAGAAAAAGAACAAACAAACATGTCTGTGCTCGAAATACCCCATAGACAAATATTATCCCTGCCAATATATGCACATTATATATAGAGACATGTCTAATACGCCATGTGTGCAACTTATACTTTCAAATATTGCAAGAATGGCCATGTACACACACACACACACACACACACGTATTTTTATATAGGGTGTCACGGTGGTGCAGCGGGTACCATGATCGCCTGTGTGGAGTTTGCATGTTCTCCCCGTGTTGGTGTGGGTTTCCTCCGGGTGGTCCGGTTTCCCCCACAGTCCAAACACATGCGCTATAGGGGAACTGATCAACTACACTGGCCATAGTGTATGAGTGTGTGTGTGTGTGTGTGTGTGTGTGTGTGTGTGTGTTTCCCAGTACTGTGTAGGAGGTTGAAGGGTATTTGCTGTGTAAAACAGATACTGGATAAGTTGGCGGTTCATTCCGCTGTGGCAACCCCTGATTAATAAAGGGATAAGCCAAAAGGAAAATGAATGAATGAATATATATATTTCAATCATTGCAATTATAAATGTAATTATATGATGAACATGTTTAAATACAGCAGATATTTCATATAAGCATTCATATATGGCCTTATATGTACATATATGAGCAATATTTATATATATATATATATATATAGTGTACAAATGCATTTATAAGTGTGTGTGTGTGTGTGTGTGTGTGTGTGTGTGTGTGTGTGTGTGTGTGTGTGTGTGTGAGTTTGTGTGTGTGCGAGTACACACTTATAAATCATTATTGTATTAATAAATGCCTATATTGATCAGACCTGTTGGTTGAAGCATGACTGATCAGACTAAAGCCTCATTCTCAACTCGCACAGGCAAATCAACCTTTCATTTTAACTGTGAGCGAGTGACTTCTGGCAACCTCCGTCTAGACGAGCCGCTGTTGACGACCAGGTGAGCATTTTTCGAGAGACACGACTAAGATTAGAAGCCATCAACGGGCCCCCCTTTAAGCCAGGCCTGGGATTGGGGCTCGGTTGCGAGCACCTGGTGGCCGAGTTGCATCCCATGGGACCTGGTCGGGCTCAGCCTGAAGGAGCAAGGTGGGACCATCATCCTGCAGACCCACCACCTACAAGAGGAGCTGTGAGGGGCCAGAGCATTGTGGAATGGGTGGTGGTTGAAGGTTATTAGCATGACAACCCGATCGTCGGGCACAGAAACTATCTCTCGGGACATGGAGCGCGACCTCACTGGGAGGGAAGAAGCCGAGTCTGTGTGGGAGGTAGAGCAGTACTCACTAGAGATAGTCAGGCTCACCTCAACGCACAGCTGGGGCTCTGGAACTCAACTTCTTGAGAAGGGCTGGACTTTCTTCTACTCTGGAGTTGCTCACAGTGAGAGACGGCGGGCTGGTGTGGGCTTGCTTATAGCTCCCCTACATAGCCACCATGTGTTGGAGTTTGAATGGAGGTGAACCAGAGGGTCGCCTCTGTGTGTTTGGGTCAGGGATGGGTCTCTTACTGTAGTTTATGCGTGCTGGACTCTGGCAGGGCTATCCTCTGTCATCGGTTCTGTTCATCATTTTTATGGACAGAATCTCTAAGTGCAGCCTTGGGCCGGAGGGGGTCTGGTTAAGGGAGCGCAGGACTCCATCTGTTACTTGCAGATGATGTTGATCTGTTGGGTTCATCAGACATGGACCTTCAGCATGCACCGGGGGGGTTTTGCTGCCGAGTATGACGTGGTTAGGATGAGGATCAGCACCTTAAAGTCCGACACCATGGTGCTCCACTGGAGAAAGGTGGTTTGGACCTCCAGGTTGGAGGAAAGTCCTTACCCCAGCTGGAGGAGTTCAAGTGTCTTTAGCCTTTTGTTCATGACAGGTGAAGACACTGCGGCAAAGAAGGAGCTGAGCTGAAAGGCAAAGCTCTCCATTTACTGCTCAATATATGTTCATGTTTCACCTATGGTCATGAGCTTTGGGTCTGACTGAAAGCACAAGATCTCATATACAAGCAGCTGAAATGAGCTTCCTCCTCAGGGTGGCAGGGCGCACTCTTATAGACAGGGTGAGGAGCTCAGAGTAGAGCCGCTGCTCCTCCACATGCAGAGAAGTCCGCTGAGGTGGCTCGGGCATCTGTTTCGGATGCATGCTGGACGCCTACCTAGGGAGATAATCCAGGCATGTCCCACCAGGAGGAGGTCTCAGGGAAGACCCAGGACACGCTAGAGGGACTATGTCTCTCGGCTGGCCTGGAAACATCTCGGGTTCCCCCCGGAGGAGCTGGGGGAAGTGTCTGGGGCTCTCTCCTGAGACTGCTGCCCCCGTGACCCGGCCCCAGACAAGCATAGGAAAATGATGATGATGATGAAGATGATGAAGATGATGATGATGATGAAACTGATGATGATGAAGATGATGATGATGATGATGAAGATGCTGATGATGCTGATAATGATAATGAAGATGATGATGAAGAAGATGATGATGATGAAGATGAAGATGATGATGAAGATGATGATGATGATGAAGATGATGATGATGAAGATGATGATGATGATGAAGATGATGATGATGCTGATGATGATGAAGATGATGATGATGATGCTGATGTTGGTTGGAAAAAAATTGGTGTGTACACAGCCATTACATCTCAGACTGAGTGTCTCCTGTTTGTCAGGTGTTCTGTGTGTCGATATGTTCTGCTGGATAATGTGCATATATGTGCAGGCGTGATGTGTGTGTATGGGCTCTGAGCGCAGCCGCTGTCATTATAATATCTGGATATAACTCTGTACAATAAATAAGCAGAACTCAAACAGCAGGAAGTAAAGCCACGCCCCCTCACCGAGGAGCGCAAAAACAGACACGCCTTCCTCATCTTCATCATCTTCACCAGTCCATCACACCAGAAACAGATGAGTAAAGTCTGGAGAGAGGTTTCAGAGCCACTGCAGTGTGTGTGTGTGTGTGTGTGTGTGTGTGTGTGTGTGTGTGTGTGAATACCTGAAAACAGTGCGAGCGAGCGTCTGTCCTGTTCCTCTGTTGTATTGCTCAGATTGTGGAAGTTCACGAGTGGAAGAGTGTGTTAAGCGTCCGTCTGCAGCGTCTCCAGATCTGATCAAGTTCATAGAAAAGAGTCCAGATCTGGAGGAGGTCTGTTCTCCGTGTGTGTGTGTGTGTGTGTGTGCGTTAACATCACACACTCCTGCGCAGTACAGTGGGGCGTGTTGAGTGTGTGTGTGTGCATATGTGTGTTTATATATGTGTGTATGTGTGTGTGTGTGTGTGTGTCTAGCTGCTGTGGCTGTCCATCAGTTTGGCCAGGCTGTCTCTGAGTGCGCTCAGCTCGAAGATCTTGCCGTCCAGCATCTGCAGCAGTGAGCGGAGACTCTTCCTGAAGCTCTGCTCCTCCAGACGCCTGCTCTCCACACGCTGCTCCAGACCCACCAGCTGCAGCTCCAGCTCCTCGTTACGCAGCTCCGTCTCCTGCACACACACACACACACACGGTCAGACACACTGAAGAGGAAGAGGAAGAGGAGGATGAGGAGTGAGGGTGGTCTGACCTGCAGCTTGTGTCTGAGCTGATCTCTCTGTGTCTGCAGCTCTGTGGTGTTTTCTACTTCCTCCTTCAGCTTCTCCAGTTCCTGTGAGGAACACAAGCAGACACACACTCAACACTGCAGCTTCACACTGCTCACACTTACACAACCATTGTGTGTGTGCATGTGTCTGTGTGTGTGTGTGTGTATGTACATGTGTCTGTGTGTGTATATACAGCTGAAGTCAGAATTATTCGCCCCCCTGTTTATGTTTTCCCCCAATTTCTGTGTAACGGAGAGCAGATTTCTCCAGCACATCTCTGATCATAACAGTGTTCATAACTCATCTCTAATCGCTGATTTATTTCCTCTTCATCATGATGACAGTAAATAATATTAGACTAGATATTCTTCAAGTCACTTCTATACAGCTTAAAGTGACATGTAAAGGCTTCACTAGGGTAATTAGGGGAATTAGGCAGGTTAGGGTAATTAGGCAAGTTATTGTATAATGATGGTTTGTTCTGGAGACTATCAGAAACAAATATAGCTTAAAGAGCGAAT